GCCTCTGGCTTTTAAAGCCAGGAGCTGGGGGAGGGGAAGAGGCCAACGGAAATGGCTGCGCTGGGTCGGGCTCCGCCAGGGTCTCCTGGGAAGGGTCCTGGGGATGCCTCGTCTAGGCGTGCGGGGAGTTCCCCGCGCAGCTAGGGGAATGGCGGCCCAGCGATCCGCGGCACTATCGGCCATGGGGGAGAGTGGGAATACGCCCGACACCCACGCATCCCGAACTCGGGGTCATTTAGGGGGAACGCAGGTGAACCCCATGCCGGCCCAGGATGCCTCGCTTGCGGCCTTGAGGCGAGGGATGTGCGGGGGAAGGGAGGCGGGAGACCATGAAGCGAATGCTGAGGCAGCGAAAGCGCAGTGTGGAAGCGCGGCGTGCGCCAAGTGCCGCAGTGTCTCCTGCCACTCGGTCACCCGGGCTGACCCCATGCCCGCTGAAGGGGCCTCCCCGCCCCCACCTCACTCCCGTGAGGCCGACGTCGAGCTTTGCGGCGTCTCAACGAGTGGGGTGTGCATGGTGAGAGGGGCTGCCAGGCCCCTGCTTTAAATTTGGCTTTATTGGTGGTTTCCGCCCTTCCGCACGGCTGCAGCTTCCCCTTCCCCCCCCACGGCCCCGCAAACAGGCGGATAACCCTTCCCGCGGCCGCCCGCCCGGAGTTTGCAGTCCACATGACGTCAGGCCCAATGGCCAATGGTGGGGCGCGGGGCTCGCGGCCTCACAATGGCTGCACGCGGGTACACATGTCCCCAATTAGGGCCCGGCGTCGCCATTGTCCCCTCTCCCGCTCCTGCCCGGCATTGGGGTCTTCCTGCGCCAAACGCGCTTCACAGAGCCTGCTTTAGTTGGAAACCAAGGTCGCGGGGTGGCTCCTGGGAGCTGCCTGGGGAAGACGCGCTGGCCGCCGCGCGCAGTGACCTTGTGCGGGGCGGCGGGGGCGCGCACGGGCGCGCGCCGGGAGTGCTGAGCTCAGCGCCCGCCCCCTGCGCAGGCGTCCCGCCGCTTCCCGCATGCGCTGCCTGACGCGGGGTTGGAGTGCACGCGAACGACCGAACCTGCGCAGGACGCGTGGAGACCTCCCGCCGGCTCTTTGCCAGAGGCCTGGCCCGGCACTGGCCCGACATTCATCTTGCATGGCAGGCGTCCCCAAGAGGCGGGGACGGGCGAGACCGCCCCCTTATCGCTGAGCAGCAGCCGGCGAGGCCCGCGGCGGGGTGAGGGTCCCTTCGGCCGTGCGGCTCTATCAGGCTCACTCCCAGGGGGTCCTGGCCGAGGCGCAGCAGGAGGCATGGGGCCAATTAGCATTTTGATTGCGGGACTGGGGGGCCCATCTGGAAGGAGGCCTAATTACCAGGCGGACCCTCGGGGCGCTGCTGGGTTGTGCCAGGCCGATCCTCTCACCCGGAGCTCTTTGCATCCTCCTGGACCCTGTCTCCACCCCCAACTCTCTGTCCTTTCGACTCCCTCCCTGTCCCCATCCCACTGACCCAGTCACCCCGTCGTTCTGTCCCAGTACTGTGTCTCTTCAGTCACCGCATCCTTCCCTTCCTCTATCTCACCTTCGCCTTGGTCCTTCGCCTTTCCATTGCTGTGGCACTACGCGCTCACCCTACTGTCTCCATCCGACATCTCGGTACCCACATCCTCTTTTTCTGTCCACATCCCTGACTCTTTGTCCATCTCCCAGCCCCTTTGGTCCCCCTCCTGATGAACGACACGTCAGAGCGTGAACGCATGTGTCCTGCGACCAGGTGTTCCCGAGGGTACCATTCTGGAGGGCCTTGATCACACTCTGGTGGATCCCTGAGCCCCCACCCCACCCCCGCGCCTGGGGCGCCCAGCGGGGAGAGGCAGCTGGGCCCAGGCCTTGGCCATCAGTCCGACCAGACATGGGTACTGAGAGCACATGCTGCCCCGCAGTAATTACTTGGTTCTTTTTGCCTTTCCTCCCTGCAAAAATCCCTTTCCCATCGTCACCTAGGCCCTCTGCATCTGGAGGTTGTGGTGGTGGCGGCACAGACCCGAGGTGCAACCAGGAGAGGTTAGAGGTCAGCAGATGACACTACATTTTAGTCTCCCCAACATAAGGATTCCCTGAGTCTCTTCCATTGGAGCTGGGGTCTTGGGAGGCTTGGTTGCCAAAGAGGAGCTAGTCAGGGATCCCAGCTGGATGGATGTGTCAGGCTCTGCCTGCACTTGGTCTCCTAGTCAGTCCCTGCAGGTCTTCCTATGGGGACCTCTTCCTGCTGTCCTGGCTATCTTGCAGCACTGCCCAGCTTCTTATCTCTTCCTGCTTCGGTGTTGCAGCATTGATTCTATGACCCTCTGTCTCTCCTGTACAGGCACACCCAGCCCCCATAGCAGAAAGTCCAGGCTTAAGAGAGGGGTTCCAGGGCTGGGGGTGTGGCTCAAGCTGTAGTGCACTCGCCTGGCAGGCGTGTGGACCGGGTTCGATCCTCAGCACCACATACAAAGATGTTGTGTCCGCCGAAAACTAAAAAATAAATATTAAAATTCTCTCTCAAAAAAAAAAGAGAGGTTTCACTACTGTGTTCTCAGCACACCCATCACCAGCAAGACAAGAGACCCTGGTGTGCCCACTCTCAGATCTGTGGTCCCATTCCTCTCTGCCCCAGCTGGGCTCCATCTAGGAATCACTGAACAACCTAGCCTGGAGTGTTCACCCATCCTGCTGGGCAGAGAGGAAGTGATAGGCAGAGAATGGAAAATTGTGTTGAAATGAGGACACACACAGTTTCTGTGGGGAAGCATATAGTTGGGACAGAGGAGAAGGTCATTAGCAGGAAGAAGAGGTCAAGGCTGTTAGGGGCAGGAGATGCAGAATCATCCATAAGAATACCCACAGCAGCAGGAACTTCACCACAGCCACCACGGGGGCATGCCAATACCAAGGCTGGTGCTGGGTGGCTGCTGCAGCAATGACTCCTGTCCCAGCTACAACTCTTGGGGAAGTGAAAGGACAAAGCCTGCAATCCCAGTGAAGAATAAGGAAGCTGATGCTTCACTTCCAGGCCAGGGGCCTAGGTGGGGAGAGAGCGGCCCCCAGAGAGGGTGGCCAGCTTAAGGGCAGCATGAAGGGAAGGAGAGGATGTAGGGCTCTCTAGTGGAGCCCGGGTCTTAGGAGGCAGTTTCAGGACTAGGGCTCTGCTTTAAAAAGTGGGGGGGGGGGGCTGGGGATGTGGCTCAAGCACCACATACAAAGATGTTGTGTCCGCCGAAAACTAAAAAATAAATAATAAAAAATTCTCTCCTTTTTTTTTTTTTTTTTTTTTTTAAAGAGAGAGAGAGAGAGAGAATTTTAACATTTATTTATTTATTCTTAATTCTCGGCGGACACAACATCATTGTTGGTATGTGGTGCTGCTGGGGATCGAACCCGGGCCGCACGCATGCTAGGCGAGCACGCTACCGCTTGAGCCACATCCCCAGCCCCTCTCTCCTCTCTTAAAAAAAAAAAAAAAGTGTGAGGAGTAGAATGGACTTGGTCCTAGTGGGGCATGAGCTTTGGAGACCACAGTCACAGAAGAGAGTTCTATGAAAGAGACCAGCAAGGACTCTGTTGTGGCTCAGTGTTAGAGCAATTGCCTAGCACATGGGAGGCACTGGGTTGGATTCTCACCACTGCACATAAATTAACAAAATGAAGGTATTGTATCCATCTGCAACTTAAAGAAAAAACAAAGAACAAATACCAAAGTAGTGGAAAACACCTGCACTAAATTTATCAGGCTAATATTCTGGTGATTAAAAAAAAATGGCATAAATGAACATTTTTTTTAATGAGGTGACTTTATTTTCATAGTTTTATTCATTTACTTTTTATGTGGTGCTGAGGATTGAACCCAGGGCCTCCCATGTGCTAGGCAAGTGCTCTACCCTGAGCACAATCCCAGCCCTCAAATGAACTTTAAAAAAAAATTTTATTTAATATGCTATTATTTTTATTTATTTATCTTTACATGGTGCTGAGATTGGAACCCAGGGCCTCACCCCGCACAGGCGAACGCTCTACCACTGAGCCACCACCTCAGCCCATAAATGAACATTTTAAAGAACAAAGATGCCGGGGGCTTTAGCTCAGTTGTAGAGCACTTGCCTCACAGGTGTGAGACCCTGGATTGGATCCTCAACAACACATAACAATAAAATAAGGGGCTGGGGCTGGGGCTCAGTGGCAGAGCGCTCACCCAGCATGTGTGAGGCACTGGGTTCCATCCTCAGCACCACATTAAAATAAAATAAAAATTTAAAAATAAAATAGATATTTTAAAAATTAAAGATCCATTGACAACTTAAAAAGAAAGGTATTGTGTCCATCTACAACTAAAAAAATAAAATAAAAAATAAAAAGATGACAGGATCCGAAAGAAGTCAACAGGTGATTGGTACACAAGGAGTAAAAGACATTATTTAGGTCCAAAGATTAAATGACAAAATGCAAATTTCAGGGGTTATGGCTTTACTGTAGAAATTGTCAAATGTGAGCCAAATCATCAGGTGTGGTACATCATGCCTGTCATCCCAGCAACTCAGGAGACTGAGGACAGAGGATCACAGGTTTGAGTCCAGACAAGACAATTTATTGTGACCCTGTCTCAAAATTTAAAAAGCAGGGTTTGGGGTTGGGGATGTAGTTCAGTAGAAAAGTGCCCCTGGGTTCAATCCCTAGTACCCTCCCTAAAAACACATGAAAGTGGAGATATCCAGATAATGAGGGTCTCCATACCATTTGCCAAAGACCAGCTCCCCAACAGCCCAATTCCCTCCACTTCCTGTCATCTAAAGGAAATCCCAGAAATCATATTTTTACCACTGTTGACCGGTGGTGACGAGTCCTTGCTTCCCCAATGTTGAAGAATAACACCAGAGAAGCACGCCGAGGCAAGGTCAGAGTGGAAAATTAGAAGTTCATTAAAGGACGGCAGAAAAGACTTCTCCCAGAGGAAGAAGGGGACCCAAGAGATGGAATCCGTGGAAGTGCGGTTTCCTCTCCATTTTATAGTGATGGAATGTAGGTGGGAAGGCCCGAAGGGTTGGGACATAGGTGGGCCAAAGAAGTAATCCTGGCATCTTGGCATCTTCAAATTTGCTGTTCATTAACATTTCTTTGGGATGGACTTTGGCCTTGGGCTTTTTCCTGGACTTCATTAACATTCCAGGAGAGTTGCTCAACTTTTCCGGGAATTCATTCTCAACATGGCCTCCATTTAGATTTCATTTGATATTAGACCCGATTTACCTAACTACACTGACGACTTAATTTTAAATCTGGCTTCAATATCACAAAATGCCATTTTTTTTTTTCTCTGAATAAAGACATGGGAAATACGGAGACCTGGAAAGTCGGTATGTGGGTGGGCAGCTCAGGAACTGCCCAGTGGGCCCTCAGCCTGCTGAGTCAGCTCAGCAGATGTGATTAGACCCTGTTCCCTTCTTGCTTCTGGCAGGGTGACCCTTCAATATCCTATATTTGAGGGGCTGGGGATGTGGCTCAAGCGGTAACGCGCTGGCCTGGCATGTGCAGGGTTAGATCCTCAGCACCACACACAAAAAAATAAAGATGTTGTGTCCACCAAAAAATGAAAAATAAATATATATAATATATATTATATTTATTATATTTATATGCCTACACAGGACTGCAGGCCCTTGCCTCCACCTCCATGGGGCGTGCATGGAAGTCTGGCCACATCACCCCAGATTCCTAATCCAGGGTGGCCTTCCCTCCCTCACCCCCACCTCCTTGGAGGTGGTACACTTTCAGCATTTATTCAGCTCCATACTTGGGTCCCCCAGTTCCACCCCAAGAGACATCCACACTGACCACACACTCAGGGCCACCACCTCTGGCCTCCCTTTCACTTCCTCACTGCCCAAGGAAATCTTGACCCTGGGGACTACACCTCAACAGGGAGCTGCCCACTCAGTGCTAGGTGGCCTCTTTCCTATCCTGCATTGCTGCTTTCCTTTTTAGTGGATGTGTGACCCATGTCACCCTCTAAGGAAAGACTTGGTCCCTGATGAGAGTGAAGGGTGTGGACAAGCTGCAGCTGGATGCCCAGGAGCTGCCTCAGCTGCCACGCTGCAGCCAACTGCTATAGCCTTCTAGACTCGACCTGTATCCAGCAGCCTCTCCAATGGACCTGAAAGGCCTACCATTTTGCACAGGAGAGTTTGAACAGATCATTCTGAGAGTGCCTGTAGGTGGTGGGCCTAGCCTGTTTCCTCTCTTCCCTCCACTGGGTTATCCCAGTGGCACATCCTTCACTGAACCTGTCTCAGACACTCCTTCCCTGGGACCCACAACAGGAGCTGGTTTTAGGCAAAGGCTGGCAGTGGGGTTGAAGGCAGGACTGCTCCCCCAGTCCCATTGTTGCCAGAGGTAAAGCGTGGAGAGTGTGGGTACAAGACAAGGCCTTAGTCCGTTCAGCCTGCCAGAACAAAGTGCCATCAACTGAGTGTCTTATATATTTTTTATCACAGTCTGGAGGCTGAGAAGTTCAAGATCAAGGCACCTGCAGATTCAATGACTGGTAAGGGCCCACTTTCTCATAGATGGTCTCTTCTAACTATGTCCTTCCATGGTGGAACGGACCAGGAGCTCTCTGGAGTCTCTTCTATAAAGAGAGTAATCCCGTGTGTGTGTGTGTGTGTGTATGCAGTGCACACATGTATGCATGATACTGGGGATTGAATTCAGGGATACTTAGCTTCTGAACTACTTTGCTAGTCCTTTTTTTTTTTTACACCAGGGATTGAACCCAGGGACTCTTTACTGCTGAACCATGTCTCCAACCCTTTTTATTTTTTGAGACAGGACCTCTCTGAGTTAGTTAGGGTCTCACTAAGTTGCTGAGTCTGGTTCTGGACTTTGGGTCCTCCCACCTCAGCCTCCCAAGTCTCTGGGATTACATGCATATGCCACCACACACAGTATCTTAGACTAACCAGGACAGAGATCATTCAAACAATGATGCAGGTGCAATGGCACACACCTGTAGTCCCAGCAGCTTGGGAGGCTGCGATTGAAGGATCACTCGTTCAAAGTCAGCCTCAGCCATAGTAAGGCACCAAGCAACTCAGTGAGACTTTGTCTATAAGTAAAACACACTACAGGGCTGGGGATGTGGCTCAGTAATTGAATACCCCTGAGTTCAATCCCTGGTAGGCCCCCCAAAAGATGGGAGGTAAGCTTCAACCTTTCTGTAGGTAGAAAGCGGGTCAAGAATATAGACCTTGGCATTCCCTCTAAAATCTGGAACAAGACAGGGATGCCCTCTATCACC